TCCTAAGCTAAGAGCAAAAAAGTGATTGTACGCAGATATTTTTATTAAATACTTCAAGTTGTCATTTAAACCACCCGAAATAGACATTTTCCATACATGCAGTACATTCAACTCTTAATTAAAACGAATCTTACTGCAAATGAACTAACCAGTGTACAGGCTGATCGTGATGCTGACCTAATTGAATCTAAAACTCGGTATAACTTAAAACAATTGAACTTTATAATGGCTAAAGAGTCACCAAAACACAAAGTACTATCTGGTGATTTGCAAAAATATTTGCCTTTACCATTAACATACAATTGTATTAGTTTCTACAAAAGGAAGATTTGGACATTAATTTTGACATTATATGATGCCAGTGATTCTTTTGTACAATGTATGACGTGGGACGAATCGAAAGGGGCCCGTGGTGCAAATGAAATTGCCTCGTCAATTTTGAAATGGGCTGACAATACAATTCCAGATAGTCAAGAGAGGACATTACTCTTTGGACCGATAACTACTATGGACAAAAAAAAAATATACGTAAGTATTATAATGTGTTATTTTTGGATACTGCATACGTACCCTCAAATTTCGACGATCATTTAAAAGTTTTTACTTACACATGGAAGAAGACAGTGTTTATGCATTGATCGAGAGAAAAAGAAAAGAAACTCCCCAATTTGGTAATTTAAATACCGTGGAACTGGCAAAAGCTAGTTAGACAAACATCAGGTAAATACACAGTGTACAATATCACTGATATTGAGCACTGACGGAAGATCAAATAGAAATAATGATAGACATAATAATAGACCAACAAAAATAATACAGACAAATTCATACAAATACTTGGGAACAGTAATCAACACCGAAGGAGACATCAAGGACAATCTTAACAACACAATGGAAAACACAGGAAAACTATTCCAAGCACTAAATAGAGGATTAATTAATAACTAAGAAATATCAACAGAGACCAAGATGATAATGTACAAAACAATATATAGACCTACAGTGGAGCAGAAAATTGGATGGAGTAAAAAGAACTGGTAGAATCAGAAATGAAGAAATAAGAGAAAGACTCAAAATCGATACTCGACTTAATCAAGGAGAACAAGTTGGCATGGTTCGGAAATCTAACCCGTATGAACAATAATAGACAAGTAAAAAGAGTGTGGGACGCCAAACCAATAGGGAAGAACAGAAGAGGAAGACCCATTAAACAATGGAACAGTGACATCTCGCAGATACTGCAGAATAAAGTTAAGACTTGGCAGGAAGTAACACAGATGGCATATAATGGAAAGGAATGGAGAAAGTTTATTAAGAGCAAGGACACCTCAAAAAATTGTAAAATATTGTAATTTAATGAATTGTATTATAAACGGCCCAACATCGTAAGGTACAAATGGGTCTACTGAAGAAAAGTAAGTATAATATTTGTCTCTAATAAAATAATAGTATAGGCTGTTCGAACATGAAATTCGAACAACCTGGTGTAATTATATAAGTGAACTGTATAATGATGATAGATCCGAAGAACTGGAGACTTTAGTTGAAGGTGAAAGGACCAGAAGTACTAAAATCAGAAATACTGCATGCTATTAAGTTAGCAAAGAACAAGAAAGCCGTTGGCCCTGATAACATACCGACAGAGATGTTAAAGCTTATAAATGAGGAGAACGTTGGAATACTGGTCAAACTTTTCAATGATGTTTATTCGACTGGTAATATCCCTGAAGATTGGTTAAAGTCCGAATTCATAACACTACCAAAAAAAAACAACGTCCGAAAAACTGTAGCGATTATAAAATGAGCTACACTTTGAAAATATTTCTACGCATCATCCACAGTAGAATCAGGGATAAATGTGAAGAAGACCAGGATAAAACACAACGTATTTGCTGTATTTATTGACTATGAAAAGACTTTTGATCGAGTACAGCATCACAAATTAATTACAATATTAAAAGATAAAGGAGTTGATAGTCAAGACATACGATTCATAGAAAAGTTATACTGGCGTCAAACAGCGACAGCTTGCATAAACGGAAAATCAACAGAAATATGTAAAATACAAAGAGGTGTCAGAGATGGTTGTATACTATCCCCACTGTTATTTAATTTATATTCAGATATAATATTTAAAGAAGCGCTGCATAATTTGGAATGGGGCTTGAAAGTTAATGGAATTCTGATAAATACAATCAGATATGCAGACGATACAGTTATTTAAAGTGATGACATGAATGGATTACAATGCCTTTTAAATGCCATTGATACAGTGGGAAGAGAGTTTGGCCTAAACATAAACTGTTCAAAAACAAAACACATGGTGTTTAGCCGTTTAGCACATCAAGATGCACGATTTTATATTGATGGTCATATAATTCAAAGAGTGTCCAGTTTTAAATATCTTGGTTGCCATATTACTGAACAACTAGATCCAGATCAAGAAATAAAATGTAGAATCGAGATAGCCCGCACGACATTTTTAAAAATGAGGTCATTCTTCTGTAATGATAACTTGAAGCTTCAACTTCGAAAGCGTATGGTTAAATGTCAGTCCTCTTATACGGTGTCGAAGCATGGACATTAAAAATATCCACCATTAATCGTCTGGAGTCCTTTGAAATGTGGCTGCACAGACGTATACTAAAAATTCCATGGACGGCTATGCTGACAAATGTGGCAGTCCTTGAGAGAGCAAATGCTGCTCGCGAGCTGCTTGATAACATCAAATGTAGAAAGATGGCCTATTTTAGACACGTAGTACAGGGAGACCGATATAATATTCTTCAACTAATTATGATGGGTATAATCGAAGGATGTAGAGGAATTTGTAGAAAGCAGGCCTCTTGGTTGAAGAATATCAGGATAAGGAAAGCTGAGCAATTCTTTAGAATAGCTCGAGACAGAGACAGTTTCGCCATGTTAATCGCCAACGTCAAGGGGACTTGATAGGGTACGTCAAGAAGAAGAATAGGTTGTTTATTGTGTTTGTATTGTTTATTTCGTAGAGACCTTAATTTAATATTAACAAGTGGTTAGAGGTAAACAACACTATGTCCAACTCATCGAGCAAAAAGACAAAAGAGGGAATCTAATCGTTATGAAAAGGAGATCAAAAAAGTGGCCTCTGATGGCGGACATATCCGGAAATGTTCCGGAAATTTTCCGACACTTATTAACAGTAGTTATTAAATAGTTTGCAGAATGTGTCTTAGACGACGAAGCTTTAAATAAATATTAACGGTAATAGTCTAAAATGTGACACGATTGTTAAAAAGTTTAATATAAACAAGATTTCATGTGACAGTTGGAACAAACAATAACATAACCCAACTAAATTTGATTTTTTAAACAAAGAAAGACTTTCTTTCATATTTATTCAGAAAATTTAACAATTTACTATAAATAAACTTTTCGATAATCTTAGAGAGTACACTTGTTACGGTGATTGGCCTGTAATTATCAACCAAACATGGATCTCCCTTTTGAAAATTGGACCAACTACTCCCGTTTTAAGGTCACTTGAACACTTGCCATCTTTGACAGATAGGTTGGTGATGTGAGACCGAACAGGAGATATAAATAAACATAAAATGGTGAGACCTCAGAAAAAAAGAATGTGTTGTTAATTGTCATAGTTGTGAAATCGTTATAAGTAGTTATTAAAAGGTTTTAATAATGTGTGTTTGACTGATGTACAAAAATACTCACCAAATTTGTTTGCTATGTGTTCTGGATGTATCAATAATTTATTATTACCGATAATACTCCACTCAAAATTGTTTTTATTTTTACCAGTTTGACGATTCACAGTTTTCCATATCTCCGTCCTACTTCTATTATTATTTTTATTATGTAAATAACTTTAATATGAGGCTTTTTGTATCCTTTACTTTACGGATAAAGTTGGCCTTTTGTATTTTATAGTTATACATTAAATCTGGATTACCACTAACATTTGCTAGCCAAAATAATCTTTCAGCTTTTTACTAAGCTGAAGAATTTCAGTATTGATCCAATTTCTGTTGGTATTAGTAGTTATGCGTTTTGATATTAAAGGACATGTTCTATCAATATGATAGGAGATAGAGTTCAAAAAAGCTCTATATGCATCATCTACATTATTTGGATATGTATAATAATTTTCGAAATTCTCAGAATCAAGACTCAACAAAAGATTAGACAAACAATTCTTTGATAAGTTTCTATAAGTAGCTATCTAGGATGTAGCAGTATTGTTACTCTCAGATATGTTTAAGCTAAAATGAAGTCCTAGATAATTATCTAAATTGTAGTTCACGGCAGCCTCATTGTATAATTAAGGAATATTGGTAAGAAAATAATCTAGTTTCGATCGTGAAATTACACCGTTTTTATTTGTAAATATTCTAGTTGGTTCAGTATTTTTACACTTAAGTCCAAAACTAATCATGAAATCCATCAATATAGATTTTTCCCTTGACTCTTTAAGATAATCGATGATAAGATCACCACAAAGAATAATACAATCATATTTAACGTAATAAATATTAAATACATGATATAATTAATGTATAAAAATAACAATATCCCCATTATGGGAGCGATACACATTGAGTAAACAAATTTTTTTTTAGTCACATCTAAAACTAATATAACACTCAATGTTAAAATCTTGACAGATGTTTAAGTGTGAGAAAACTTCGAATATTAAATTTAAAATTAACCTTTACAAATAAAAGTACACTACCATGTATATAATTACTTCGATTATAGTACGAAACTAAGAGATTATTAGGAAGATAAAAAGAATTTATATTGTTGTCACTACACCATAACGCGGATATACACAGCAAATCCGGACTTTCAGTTTTAAGCAATAATTCGATAAGACTTATTTTGTTTACAATAGACTGAGAATTAATACATAATATATATATATATATATATATATATATATATATATATATATATATATATATATATATACAAATATAAATATATTTAAAAAAGTAACTTACCTGATGGAGAGTTTGCAGATTTTTCCAATGAAGGAATTTTCTTTTCCAGATCGTAACTATGTTTATGAACCATGGTTGTTAACTTATTTTCGACTAAAATTATTTTATTTATTGTAGCTAGTAAAAGGTAACTTAATTTAACTTAGTAAAAAGTATCGGATAATGGGATAAAACTAGAAATTTATCGAAAATACAAAGTGATGTAAAGATACAGGAAAAGGAAAATCTTGCGTAGGAAAAACGATAGTTTACAAAATTATATCATTTCGAACCGTGTATCCATTTTGAAGAATATGCGGCAGCAAAGTTTACGAAGTTTGCGTGTCGAAAGAAATCAGCGTGCACTTGTGTTTGTTAAACGCGCGGTGTATCCCGCGCGGGCAGGTAGTTTGACGGTCACTGTCAATGGTTCCTAGACAGTCGCTCTCCTAATATTATACTACCCACTTTTTAGTTTAAACTCACGTGACACAATCATGCTGATTCGAAATTAAAACACTTTGCAGAACAATTAACAGTTTATCTTGTTTGCCATTTTTTTACTGGTCTTATTGGTATTGGAATTAAGAGTTGTGCTTTTATGATAAAGACGATTACATTTCACAATATAAAGAATATAGTTTTTAACGTTGCACTACTGTTATTTTGATAGTTTATTATAGATGTTTGTAAATAATTTGTAAACATGTAAACAAACGCCTGCCAAATATATCCTAAGAACGGATTAAATATGGATGAATTTTTTTTTATTTTGAAAATATGTGTCTCGACAGCTAATGGTCATTGACACAGGTACAATTTACATTCATGTTTACATGGTTAATACTTTACATTGGGTACAAGTTAGTTACAATACATTTAATACATTTTGTTTTAAATTAAATTGTATAACTTTGTGTTTCTTAGAAATTTATTACATTTTCATAGTTGCTGCTGTTTGAGATGAGTATGTCTTTTAGGTTCTTACCAAGATTGGATTTTCCTCTAGCCGCTAAGTAATGTTGACAGTCAAGAAGTACATGCGTTACAGAAGTCGTGGTACAAAATCTGTTTACTGGAATTCATTAGGTGTCCATGTGTAAGGCGTGTGTGCCCTATTCTCAATCTTCGAATGATATTTATTTTTATTTCTCGTATGGCTACATCACAGGTTCATATATATATATATATATATATATATATATATATATATATATATATATATATATATATATATATATATATAAATTACAAACAACAGTAAATACAAAAATATTATTCTACAAACAAACATCTAGATTATAAATATATTCGATTGACTCTTTTGTAGCAGCCAGGAAATCCGAAGGGTTGCCGTTATAGGATCTAATCGGGCATTCCTCTACCATGTGTTTTACTGTTTTCCTTTCGGCGCCGCAGTCGCAATTTGGTGGTTGTATTTTTTCCCATCTAAAAAGTGAGTCGTAACATCTGCCACAGTTTGTCCTTATTCTATTGAGTGTGGTCCAAATTCGTCTCGGTTGGTTGAAGCCCTCAGGTTTGTTTGTAATACATGGCATGTTCCAGTTAGCTGGTGCAGCGTTATTCTCCCATTGTTCTCTCCACCGTTCAGTTACATTAAAGTTTTGATCTACTAGCCTTTTTGCTGTTTTTAGAGGCGGTTGTCTTAAACGGAGCCTATTTATGTCTCTGGCGGAAGTTCCGATATGGAAGCGGAGCTCAGGATCAGTAATGATTTTTGTAAATTCTCTGGCAAGGGCATGTTCCCGGCGGATGGGTGGTGGAGCTATATGACTCAACCAGTAAGTGGGCGTGGCCTTGACTGTGCCCGATATAGTTCGCATGGTTTGGTTGAGTTGGCCATCAACACGGTGAGTATGTGGACGTTTATCCATACTGATGCACAGTATTCCGCTACGGGGTATACCAGTCCTAATGCTGTCGATCTAAGTGTGGGTGCTGAGTAGCCCCATGTGGTGCCGCAGAGCTTTTGCAGGATGTTGTTACTAGTTCGAAGTTTTGCAGCAGTCTTAGTAAAATGCTCTTTAAAGTTTAGCGTTCTGTCAAGTGTAACACGTAAGTATTTTGGGTGTTTATTATAGTTAAGGAGTCTATCCTCAAAATGAATTTGAGGTTGATAGTTGGCCATCTTATTGTACAAATGGAAGCAGGACACTTCTGTCTTAGTTGGATTGGGTTGCAATCTCCATTTGCGGAAATAATTCCCTAGGGCATTTAAATCGTTTGTTAGAATGCGTTCAGTGACCTCGAATTCTTTATGACTTGCGGCAAGCGTCCAGTCGTCTGCGTATCCAAACTTTTTGATGTGGTTTATGGCATGTCTGCAATGTAGAGGCTGAAAAGCATGGGAGCCAGCACGGATCCTTGTGGAAGTCCATTATTCAGTTTTCTTTGGGTACTAGTCTTGTCTTCCAATATAACTTTAAAGCATCTGTTGGATAGCATGTCGTTGATAACCTCAATGGTCGTTCTGCATGGGATTAATCGCATTAATTTATATATTGCCCCTTGTCGCCACACAGTGTCGTAAGCAGCAGATAGATCGATGAAGACAGCGGTTGTTTTTTGAAAGTTTGATTTCACATAATTGGTCAGGGCGAGTACCTGGTCTGTGCAGCTGCGGTTTGGCCGAAATCCTGCCTGTTCCACTGGTAAGTGTCATAATATGGTTTTGCTGATTCTATTATACAACAGTCTTTCGAACAATTTGTACACCATACTTCAGAGTGCGATGGGGCGGTAGTTTTTCGGTGAATCGGTGAATTTCTGCGAGCCATTGCCTAGTAAATCTGCTGCTATGTTTGAGAAACTCAAAAAGTGAATGGCGTCGAAACCCGGCGCTTTTCCTGTTTTAATTTCATTTAGGGCTTGCGATATTTCTTCATGCGTAAATGGGTTGAAATATTCTGTTGAGTGTGCAAGACTAGATTTTATGGTTTTGAGGTCTTTTTTAACTTCAATTATATGTAAACGATTTTGAGGTGCCCTAGAGGTTGACACTATATGCGTAGCTATTTGGTCTGGAGTTACTAGGTTGGTTTGGCATACGGGTGGGTTGCTACTTCCAAGTTTTCGCAGTAATGACCAAGCCTGTCCACTTGACTTCTGAAAGTCTAGGTTTTTTATTGTCTGGGTCCATTTTTTACGCCTGGCAGCATCAATGCCGTGGAGTAGTTCATCTGCAATCTCCTGATTTCCATCTTCGCAATATTCTTCACACCGTGTTCTGTCCAACTAGGGATATATTCTTTGCGGTATACTCTAAGGATTGTCGCTTTTGCTGAGGTGATTATTGCTCCTGTTAGTCTCCCGTAGTTCTGGCTCTTTGGTGAAATCCATCCTAGGCATTTGTCAAGGTTACTGGTGAAAGCAGACCAGTTAGCTTTCTTGAAGTTCCATCTGGGGCGTGGGAACGATCTTATAATCCGAATACTGATATTCGAATGATAAATTTGTCTTTATTTTTTATTAATGAGAGCTGGTGGTACAAAAAATTTTTGGTTGTAGAACGCTTAACTTGATCGGCTCTTTTGTTACCTGGAATACCAACGTGTGATGGGACCCACTATATTGTTACTGTAATTTCATTAGTTTGAAGACGATTACATATACTCTGGATGTTTTAAACTATTGGGTGGATAGAGTGTACGTTTCTTATGGACTGCATAGAGGACAGAGAGGCCGTATAGATTGCTATAGTTTTATTATCGTAGAGTGGAGTTTTGACCGCTTGTAGTATTCCATATAGTTCAACAGTATAAATACTGCAATTGCTGGAAAGTCGAAATACGTTGACGGTGGTTATAGTCGTTGTAACAGTACAGCCAACACCTTCTTCAGTCTTAGATGCGTCTGAGTAAAGGATCTTATCGAAGTTGCATCGATGTAGTATTTCATAGAATCTTTGTTTGATAATGGAAGGTGATATTTTATTCTTATTCTATCTATCTATCTATCTAATCAGCCTTAAACGCCCACTCTTGGGCATAGGCCTCCCTGTTAATCTCCGTTGGTCTCTATTTTGGGCGATCTGCATCCAGTCCTTTCCTGCCGTTCTGTCTTTCCATTTTGGATATCCTGTCGATGTTCTCCTTTGTGAAAGTCCATGTTTGTGAGCCACATGTGATAACTGGTAAAATGCACTGATTGAATACTTTAGTTTGCATATATTGAGGGAACTTTTTATTTTTTAGAATATATGATAGTTTACCAAATCAGGCCCATGCTAGTCTAGTTCTTCTTTTTATTTCTTCGGTTTGATTGTCCCTGTTCAGCTTTATTATCTGTCCTAGGTATATGTATTCTGCCACCTGCTCTTATTCTGTTTGACTACTATTTCTAATTGGTCTTCTTGGTTTGTCATAGTCTAGGTTTTACTATAGTTCATCTCTAGACCTACCTCTGTCGCTTTTCTATCTAGTTCCTCAACCATCTTTTGTAACTCTTCCTTCTTATCTGTTATCAGGACTATATCGTCTGCATATCTCAAGTGGTTCAAGAGCTCTCCATTTATTCTTATTCCGTATGTATCCCATTCTAATTTTTTAAATATGTCTTTCATAGCCTGATTGAACAATTTTGGTGATATTGTGTCTCCCTGCCTGATTCCTCTTTCGAATTTTATTGGTTCTGTAGCGTGTTCGTTCGTCAATTTTATTGTGGTACTCGCATTTTTGTATATGTTTGTTATTAGGTCCGTGTACCTGTAATCAATTCTGCCGTTCTGTAGTGAGTTTTTGATGGCCCAATGTTCTATGCTGTAAAACTCCTTTCGGAAGTCTATGAATGCCATGTATAATGGGATTTGATATTCGTTCGACTTTTCAATCAGTATTTTTACTGTTAGCAGATGGTCGCTAGTACTAAAACCCTTTCTGAATCCCGCTTGTTCTCTTGCTTGGTATTCGTCAAGCTTAGTTGTTAGTCTAGTTGTCATGATCTTCGTTAGTAGTTTAAATACAACACTTACTAATGTTATAGGTCTGTAGTTTTCTAAGTTCTTTCGGTCACCTTTTTTGAACATTAATAGTGTCTCCGCATCGTTCCAGCTATCGGGTATTTCTTTTGTGGTCAATATTTTGTTCATGAAGATATGTAGGACTTCTCTAGTTGTTTTCCCTCCTCTCTTCAGCATCTCTGCAGTTATTCTATCTTTTCCAGGTGACTTATGGTTTTTTAATTCTTG